ACGCAGCAGCTCGTCAGGGACATCTTCCAACCTGCTTCAGTTGTGTCAATGCAGCTACAGACTCGCCCAGAGTAGCTGTGATGGCTCAGGTAAGACGTTTACGAATTAATCTTGTGTGGCTGCGGTCATTCCGTTCGAGACTGTAGTGTAGTACCCAACATTCCGTTCGAGACTGTAGTGTAGTACCTAACGTTTGAATGACTTCAACGTCACGACTGAAAGGAAATTCTCGGGGAAAGTTTGAAGCAAGTTCCCAGTCAATCCAATGTCATAAATCCACTGCATTTGCTATGATCCTGATATTCAGACACTCCTGGCAATCGGAATATCTTTCGTGGGTGATCTGGACGCCCTGATCAACTACGTGATGTTTGGGTTCTGGGCTCAGCGTATCTTCACGCTCGTCGCATTGCTTATGATCCGTCACAATCGCATTCCCGTTCATCCAGAAGCCATTCGAATGCCCTTGTGGTGGTGCGTTTTTGATGGCTATTCATTTTTACCGTCTTTTCTGGGATATAAGCCGAGGAAGCGTCGAGACACTCGCGCCAGCGCACGCGAAAATTTCTGTTGATAGCAGCAACTGCAGCAGGGTACAGCATCGTGATGTGTGAGGTGGTGGTGTGGGTACGACCCCCCCCCTCCGACAGAGGGTGTCAGTACGACCCCTCCCCCCCACCTAAATGAGGGTCTCAGTACGACCCTTCCCCAACTCCTACCTAAACATTTCCCCCATTTTCCAGTTTTTTCACCCAAAATTTTTCCGCCAAAGGGGGTATGTATATAGCCAGTGTGAAACGGGATAATTTTCCTACCAGTTTTTCCAAAATTTCCCGAAAATTTTCCTACTTTTCCCCTAAAATTTTGCTGTCGAGCGGGGGAGGGGATATATAGTGCACATGAAACAGGAAAAATCACGCAAAAAGTCAACAACCGGAAAACCAACGCGACAAATTTCTCTCAAAGGCACATACGACCCCCTCTCTCCCAACGACCAAATACGACCCCCCTCCCAGAGAAAAGTACGACCGTGACTATGTGTTTCACACAACGATGTTGTACCCTGAACTGCAGTCTTGTTCGCAGCAGACGCTGGGGCTTTTCAGTGAGCTGAGTTTGGCGCGACGCCAGCCTGTTGTTCAGCAACTGTGGAAGTTGGCAGGCGACTACAACTGTTAGAAAACAGGCTGACGCTGCTCCGTACCCAGCCTCCCGCCCCGTGGAACGCCCAGCGCAGGACGGTGCATCTGTCTTTTTTGCATGATCTGCCTGCCATCTCTGATAAACTGAAAACATTTCTTGTTGAGTAGTGCTGAGTTATTGAACTCATTTCTTCGAAACTAATCAACGACATGGCTGTGTGAAAAAAAAAACTGCCTGTCCAACGGGCGGCCACATGAGGAATGTAATTCTTTTTCATCGGGGATTTGCGAACTACCGCTCACGTTCGGTTAGCGAATACAGGGACTTACACATGGACCGCGGGCTTATATTTCCAGAAAGCAGGAGGACATTAGCGCTGCTCTCCATGCATCAATAAATTCGATCGCTCTCTCTTCCAGCTATCATACACCTTTCTCTCGACCTATCACATCAGTGGTTGGGATTCCCATGCATCTCACAAGGAATCCTGTTGACTGCAGGTTGGCCATTGGGATATGCTTCATTGGATTTGCACTGTATTTTCTATTCGTTTACCCGACTATCCTGCCGACATGGCTATACATTCTCAATGGTGAGTGAATACTTCGCAAATGTTGTTGATTTCTGGTTATGCACGGAGAATGAAGCGAATACAGTCTTCTTCGATGCTCAGGGAGCTGCGCTTGGCGCGGCGCTAACCCGTTATCCACAAAGCGCGGAGGCTGACAAGTGACCGCAATTGGTGGAAAACGGGCTGGCGCTGCACCAAACTTATCTCCCAGATACGCCCCATCAACCGCACTGGACAAGACTGTACATCCAGATTATCAGAACAATGGGTGTAGGAAAGGGTAAAGTAGACGGAAAGAAGTTGGCGGTCTAAGAGCAAACTTCCATCAAAAGTTATCAGAAAACCATTTCATTTGATAGAACAACATCAGTTCTTATAGAACGTTCAACGTTGATCTGCAGCGTCATTTTCGACTGTTTACCCGATGTGAAACCAGGCGTCGCTGTGCCACTTCTCGCTTCGTCTGATTCATCTCAAGCTTTGCTTCCCAAGAGGTGAGAGTGATTTGTTTACAAATGCCTCTGATGAGCATGAGATGGAGCAGGAATTCATATTACCTCTTGATAACCGATCAATTAGAAAAGCGTAAGGACTGTTCTGGACAAAACCCAAGGCTCAGCCATTAGTACTTGACCGAGTCACCGTAAATTTGCCTTTTCAGACCGTCATTAGCTCGTTTGTCAGAAGAGGACTCCCTACCAGATCTTCACTCTGATGAGAAGAACGTATTACATCGCAATGGCAGTTCTGCGGGATTCAAATTATTGTAAGTTTCTCGTATTCTAATTTCTCAGTTCTCGATGACGTTTTTAGAAACAATGTATGATTCCGGGTGCAAAGTTTAGCCCTCCGATCAAAGCGCCTCACTCTGTATTCAGAATCTAATCCCTTCCAAGCATTTCCCGCCCACGATCAAAAGGGCAATCGATAAAATAAATAATCGCAGTTCATCAATCCCTATTGGAATGCGGCAAGCATTCTACTTCCATTCAGTATCAAGTCGCACATTGAATGCGGTGTGGCCTATGTTGACTTGAGGGGCTGGGCCAACAGGGGGTACAGCAGTGATGAGTGAAATTGTGGCGTCAGTACGAGAAGAAGTGTCGGTACGGTCCCCTAACCTAAAAGAGTGTCTCGATACAACCCCCCTCCTTCCCCCAACCCTTATTCCCAGCTTCCTACCAGTTTTTAACCCAAAAATTTTCCGTCGGGGGGAAGCACATGTGAAACGGGAAAATTTTTTGGATTTCGCCAACTTCCTACCGTTTTTTCCGGCAATTCCCGAAAATTTTCCTACTTTTTCCTTAAATTTTTGCTGTCGAGTGGAGCG